CACAATGATTGTAGCGTCTGATTTCACCCGATGTTTGTCTCTCGAGTCCTTGCTAATATAGTTTACAGGTGTTGTTCTATCAATCATAATATATCTTTCACTAACAAAAAAATGAAAATAATATTTTTTTACCTATTTACTGTGGGTCTCTCAATTAAATATTGTCAAACGTGAAATAGTCAAGAGAACTTAGTTTAGGTCAAAAAAAAAAAAAGTCGGGGTCCGAGTCCCCCTTCTCCTTCTCCAACTCTTTTTGTTTTTTCTTCTTCTTCTTAGCACCTTCGTTGATCTCTTTGTCAGCTATTACTGTTTTGATGAGATTTTTTAAGCTTAAAATTTTCTCAAGCAGTGGACGAATGTTCTCGCTCTTGTTAGACCAACAATGGCGCTTAAGAAACGTTAACCCAATGTTATTTGGTCATTACTCCAACACCGCATGAACAACACCACCAAAGATACCAACCACTACCGCCATAGAAGAGAGGATGAACAACTCCTAAAGTAGTTCAAATTTGTCTTCTTTTTGCCATGAAGACGAGGTTCAAGAGACCTGAAATCTACCAAGTGAACGATAACTAGAGTCTCTCCCCGACAACGAATACCTGTTGTTTGAATCCTCAATTTTAGATTTTGCCCACTTGCATTTTTCTTGTTTAAGAAACAAAAAGAGACAACACCACATTCGATGAGTATTTATTGAAGAACGTGCAAAAAAATTGGAAGACTGTACAAAAAATATTTGTTAGGGTAAAAGACAAAGTAGAAGATAACAAAAAATCAAAAAAATATTATAGTACATGGGCTGGACTTCTCTCTAGATACTGTCTGTCAAAATGTTGAAGATCACCTTCTAAGAAGAAAAAAAAAAGTTCAATTCAATTGAATCATAATTTTTTAAAATCAATATAAAAACTTTGAACTCAAGTTTAAATTATGTCTTAAAAATAAAACCTAATAAAAATAAATTTTTATTATATCTCAACAAAAGTAATGAGTTTACATTATAAACATAATGGCGCGCATAGCATTACATTATATAGCGCATGCGTACGTGACGTACTGTACAATAATTGTGATGCCTGATTTTATCCATTTTTAGTCTCTCGAGTCATTTCTCAATCTAGTTTGTAGGTGTTGTTTCATCAATCAAAACATATCTTTGACTGAAAACAAAAATGAAAAAAAAAAAAAAACTTTTAAATCTATTTACGGTTGGCCTATCAACAAAATGAATTTTAATTCGAATTCAAGTCAATTTAATCGAATATAGATTAATAGTTTAATCCATTTATCTAAATTGGTATAAATTTGATTAAAATTTTTAAAATATTTTTGAATTTATATACATATAAATTCGAACTAATAATAATAAGATCCGGTATATGTACATAATTAATTAAAAAAAATTAGGATATATAAATATATACTTAGTTGGATTATTAATTAGATTTACTTGAAAATAAATAGAAAATTTTGATTAGAATGATTAGATGATTAAATTAGGTTGAAATTTCACTTTAATTTTGTAAAATAATTACATTTTTTTGAAATTTTGCTGGGATTCAAATTTTCAGATCGGATCTGGCAATCGAATTTAATATCCGATTGATAACAGATGCGGATATGGATTAAAATTTTAAAATTCGTTGAATAAATGAATCAAATTTAGAGGTCAAATTTTTTATCGGATTCAGATTTGGAAATATCAAAATCCGGTCTAAATTTGATTCATTGACAACACTACTCCATAGTATTAAAACAAATAAATGAGAAATGAAAATTTGTGCCTAATAATAGTAATAAAATAAATAAAAAACTGAGATAAACATATTTTTTCTTATCCCACATTGATCAGGATTCGGGAAGGAAAACTTTTGACACTATTTCGATCCTTTAGTATTTTAATCATAACTTTATACTCCAATGTTTGATTGACTTGATTTTTGTGGCATTGAAAAATAAACTTCAAGAGCTTAATAAAGTGTCTTTCATGAAAAAATTATGAATCGTCCTCTAATTATATCAAAATTACGTTGAAAATTTTGCCAAAAAACTTACACGCGTGCTAATGGTTGGGAACGCGCGTCCGAACACAACAAGCAAAAAGACCAATACAGATTAATTTTTCAATATTTTAAAATATCTCTGCAAAAATAATGTGGTTAAAAAAATGACGTGCATAGCATTACTTTTTTATTGTGCATGCATGACATTCTGTACAATAATTGTGGTACCTGATTTCGCTTGATTTATGTCTCTCAAGTCCTTGTCAATATAGTTTATAGGTGTTGTTCTATCAATCATAACATATCTTTGACTGACAACAAAAATGAAAAATATATTTTTATACCTATTTACAGCTGGCCTATCAAATAAAAACAACCAAACGAGAAATAGTCAATCGAACTCAGTTTAGGTCAAAAAAAAAAAGAGAACTTAATAAACATACTCATAAATCTAGCTTGATGGAGTCAGGGTCTCAGTGCTCCTTTTTCTTCTCCTTCTCCTTCTCTTTCTCCAACTCTTTTTCTTTCTTCTTCTCCTTCTTAGCACCTTCGTTGATTTCATTGTCATCTATTAATATTTTGATGAATTTTTTCAAGTTTAAAATCCTCTCAAGCAGTGGACTAAGGTCCTCGCTCTTGTCAGACCAATGATGGCGCTCCAGAAACAATAGACCAACTTTATTTGGCTATTACTCCAATACCGTGTGAACAACACCACTGAGGATACCTGCCACTTCCGCCATAGAAGGATGACCACCTCTGAAAGTTGCCCAAATTTGTCTTCATTTTGCCATGAAGATGAGGTTTCAAAAACTTGAAATCTATAGCACGAACAAGAACTAGAGCCTCTCCCCAACGACGAATACCTGTTATCTAAATCCTTAATTTTAGGGTTTGTCCACTTTCATTTTTCTTGTTTAAAAAACAAAAGGCAACGACACCGCCTTCGAGGAGTGTTATTAAAGAACGTGCGAACAATTTGGGAGACTTTGTTGTTATTTAAATCCTCAATTTTAGGGTTTGCCCACTTTCATTTTTCTTGTTTAAAAAACAAAAGGCAACGACACCGCCTTCGAGGAGTGTTATTAAAGAACGTGCGAACAATTTGGGAGACTTTGCTGTTATCTAAATCCTCAATTTTAGGGTTTGCCCACTTTCATTTTTCTTGTTTAAAAAACAAAAGGCAACGACACCGCCTTCGAGGAGTGTTATTAAAGAACGTGCGAACAATTTGGGAGACTTTCCTGTTATCTAAATCCTCAATTTTAGGGTTTGCCCACTTTCATTTTTCTTGTTTAAAAAACAAAAGGCAACGACACCGCCTTCGAGGAGTGTTATTAAAGAACGTGCGAACAATTTGGGAGACTTTGTAAAAAACATTAGTTAGGGTAAAAGAGAAGGTCGAAGATAATAAAAACCAAAGCAATACTATAGCACATGAGCTAATCTTCTTTTTAGACACAGTCTATCAAAAGATTGAAGATCACGTCCCCAGAAGAAAAAAAATAGTTCAACTAAATTGAATCTTAATTTTTTAAAATCAATAGAACAAATTTGAACAAAAGTTTAAGCTATAAAAATAAAGTCAAATAAAAATAAATTTCTATTATATTTTAACAAAATAATGGGATTTACATTATAAAGATAATGACGTGCATAACATTACTTTCTATTGTGCATGCTTACTTGATGTATTGTACAATGATTGTGGCACCTGATTTTACCCGATTTTCGTCTCTCAAGTCATTTTCCAATCTAGTTTGTAAGTGTTGTTTCATCAATCACAACATATCTTTGACTGAGAACAAAAATGAAAAAAAAAAAAACTTTTAAACCTATTTACGGTTGGTCTGTCAATAAAATGGATTTTAATCTGAATTCAACGCTAATCCATAATAATAAAATAAATAAATGAGAAAGACACTTTTGTACTTATATGTATTAATAAAATAAATAAATAAATTAGACAGACAATATTTTTTATCACGCATTTGTGAGAATTCGGGAAGGAAAAATTTTGACACTGCTTAAGTCCTTTATTGTTTTAATCATAACTCTTCACTTTAATGTGTGATTGACCTAATCTTTGTGGCATTGAAAAGTAGATTTCAAGAGTTTTAAAATGTCTTTTATAAAAATTTCGTGAATCGGTCTCTAACTATTGAAAGTTTGGCCAAAAAACTTATGTGTTCGGACAGTTGGAAACGCGCGTCTGAATGCAACAAACTGAAAGGCCAACGTAAAGTAATGCGTCTGGACGACTCAAAACACACATCCGAATGCGATCAACAAATTGGTCAAGAATAAGTTTTTGACTCTATTTAGTCTTCTTAGTTTCCTAATCCTTATAAAAGCTTTTGTAACCCCTAATTGAGAATTATTCGACCTTCAGTCTCTTTCTAGTTTTTATTTTATTTTTTTCATGAATTGCTAAGTCCCCAATTAAAGTTATTGGTGGTATTGATCCTTAGTTTTATGTCTTCCCTACTTGCCATTTTTTTCCTTAAGAATCAAAAAACTGTGGCACCTAAATCTTTGGGTAGAAGAGTCTGAATGTCTTGAATGACTTCACTTGAAATAACCTAAATCCGTGGCATATGTGAATTTTGGAAGCATCACTTATCAAACAGGCCCACTCAAACAGGCACATAGTTTGGTATTAACCTAAAGAACCATTATCTTCTACATATCCTCCACACCCATGCACACATAGAGATGCTCAGTGCTCAAGCACAAACACAGCCACACATACCTAGAGTATGTACTGACCCACTCACACATACGCACACGACACACTCTCCAAATGCAACCTAATGCTTAATAAAATATATTAAAAATGCCAATAAAATATACTTTAAACTTAAGATTTTAAACACTTACATCCTCAGTCCGACTCTAAATCAGAATCTATACTTTCTTTCTTTGACTTAAACACGAGGTTTTCTTTCCCCAAATTAGACTCCAAGGTGGAGTTCTTCCCTTCTTCTCCTCCTTCTACTCAACATCCGTAAGTTTCTTCAATAGTAGTTCTTTCATCCTCTTATCATTCTTTACGTAATCACTGAAAAGCCTCTTTAAATAATTTATTCTCTCTAGCAATCGATCGGAACTATCGGTCTGATTTGACCATTGATAATGTTTGAGAAACAACATTCCAGCCTTCATAGGGCCATGCTTCGAAATTGCATGGAGCCCACCGCCAAGTATTCTGACGGTTTCAAGGGTGACAGTAATGATACCCACTTTTGACATTCTTTCGAACACCGACTTCTTTCTTTGAAGACCTTCTTTAAGCTTTTCTAAATTCTTTGAATGGATTCCTACTATTGCCTCTCCTCTCTTTCTAAAGTTTGATGGACGAAACTTCAACTTCAAATCAAATTGCCAAAAATTTTTGTATAGTAACTTGTACGTCGTCGCGTCTACTTTAAAGAAATTCATGATGATTGGTTTTTGGGAGAGAGTGCACTAAAAGTTTTTTCAAAAACTGTGTGATTATTTTGGACTGTGTGATAAAGTGATGGCAGAGAATATTTTTTGAGATTATTATAGTTTTACCCTCTATGGTTTTAGTCAGAAACACTTTAACTCTATGAATATTAAAATTTTACACATTTCATCCTTAAGGTGTGTACTAAAATGAAACTATAGGTCATCAAATTAGGTCTAATAACATATTATAGTTCAATTAAACTGGTTTTAATTTTTTGAATTCAGTATAATACAGTCCATTGAATAAATAGATCAAATTTTTTATCAGATTCAGGTTATAACATATCAAAGTTCGATCCATTGACAACATTAATCCATACTGATAAAACAAATAAATGAGAAATTAAATTTTGTATCTATACATAGCAATAAAATAAATAAAATTTAGAGAAACAAAAAAAAATTTATCACGCAATGGTGAGAATTCAGGAAGGAAAAATTTTGACTCTATTTTGGTCCTTCAGTATTTTAGTTATAACTTTTTACTCCAATGTTTGATTGACTTGATCTTTGTGGCATTGAAAAGTAAGCTTAAAGAGTTTGAAAATTTTTTTTCATGACAATTTTGTGAATCTGCCTTAAACTATATCAAAATTACATTTAAAGTTTGGCAAAAAAACTTACACGTGTCTAAATGGTTGGAAACGCACGTCTAAATGCAACAAGCAGAAACACCAATATAGATTAATATTTTAATATTTTAAGATATTTGAACAAAAATAATGATGTTTATATTATAAACAAAATGACGAACATAACATTACTTTCTATTATTTGTGCGAATGTGATGTACCTTACAATGATTATGATGCCTGATTTTGCCAGTTTATCGTCTCTTAAATTCTTCTCCAATGTAGTTTACTAGTGTTATTCCATCAATCACAATATCTCTTTGACTAACAACAAAAATAAAGACAACATTTTTATACATATTTACAGTTGGCCTGTCAAAAAAATGGATTTTAATCTAAATTCAAGTTTATTTAATCAAATATAGATTAATATTTCAATATATTTATCCAAATACGGTCCAAGGGTGGTTAATTTTTTTTTAAATATTTTAAAATTAAAATTCATATAAATTCGAACTAATAAAATACGATACGATATACATACATATTTAATTAAAAAAAATTGTATATATAAATATATCCTTAGTTAGATTATTAATGAGATTTACATGAAATTAAACAGAAATTATTGAATAGAATGGTAGGTTAATTAAATTAGGTTGAAATTTAACCTTAATTAGGTAAAATTATTAATTTTTATGAAATTTTATTGGGATAAATTTTCAAATCAGATCAGGTAGTCGAATTGAATATAAAATTGATAACAAATGCGAATGTAGATTAAAATTTTGAAATCCGTTGAATAAATGGATCAGATTTAAAATTCTAATTTGGACATATTAAAATCTGGTCTAAAGACGATTCGTAGAAACTACTAATCCATAATAATAAAACAAATAACTGAGAAATGAACTTTTGTATCTATACATAGTAATAAAATAAATAAAAAAATGAGACATACAATTTTTTTTTATCACGCATTGGTAAGAATTCGGGAAGGAAAAATTGACACTATTTCGGTCCTTTAGTATTTTAGTTATCACTTTATGCTACAATGTTTGATTGACCTGATCTTTTTGCCATAAAGACGAGGTTCAAAAGACTTGAAATTTACTAGGTGAATGATGACTAGAGCCTCTCCCAGAAGATGAACACCTGTTGTCTAAATCCTCAATATTAGGTTTTGCTCACTTGCAATAAAAGGCGACGACACTGCCTTTGAGGAGTGTTATTGAAGAACGTGCAAATAATTTGGAAGACTGTGCAAAAAACATTTGTTAGGGTAAAAGACAAGGTTGAAGATAACAAAAAACCAAAAGATTATTATAGTACATGGACTGGCCTTCTCTTTAGATATTGTTTATCAAAAGGTTGAAGATAACATTCTAAGAAGGAAAAAAAAATATTTCAATTAAATTGAATCTTAATTTTTTAAAATCAATATAACAAATTTGAACTCAAGTTTAAATTATGACTTAAAAATAAAGCCAAATAAAAATAAATTTTTATGATATTTCAGAAAAAATAATGGGGTTTACATTATAAGCATAATGGTGCACATGACATTATTTTATATTGCGCGCGTGTATGTGATTGTGACGCTTGATTTTACCCGATTTCCGTCTCTTGAGTTATTTTCCAATCTAGTTTGTAGATGTTGTTTAATTAATCACACATATTACTTTAAAAAAAATAAATAAAAATCACAACATATCTTTGACCGACAACAAAAATGAAAAAAAATACTTTTAAACCTATTTACGGTTGGCCTGTCGATAAAATGGATTTTAATCTGAATTCAAGTTCATTTAATTGAATATAGATTAATATTTCAATCCATTTATCTAAATTTGATTAAATTTTTTTAAATATTTTTGAATTTATATACATATAAATTCAAACTAACAGAAATAAGATCTGGTATATGTACATATTTCATTAAAAAAATTAGGATATATAAATATATACTTAGTTAGAATATTAATTAGATTTACATGAAAATAAATAGAAATTATTGATTAAAATGATTAGTTGATTAAATTAGGTTGAAATTTAACTTTATTTTTGTAAAATAATTACCTTTTATGAAATTTTGTTGGGATTCAAATTTTCAGATCGAATCTGGTAACCAAATTGAATATTTGATTGATAACAATTGTGGATATGGATTAAAATTTTAAAATTCATTGAATAAATTGATCGGATTTAGAGCTCAATTTTTTTATCAGATTCAAATTTGGACATATCAAAATCCAGTTTAAATTCGATCCAATGACAACACTACTCCATAGTAATAAAATAAATAAATGAGAAAGTAACTTTTGTACTCAATAATAGTAATAGAATAATAATAAAAAAAAAAGATAGACTAATTTTTATATAACACATTGGTGAGGATTCGGGAAGGAAAATATTTGGACACTACTTTAGTTCTTCAGTATTTTAGTCATAACTTTATACTCTAATGTTTGATTGACCTGATCTTTGTGGCATTGAAAACAGACTTTAAGAGTTTTAAAAGTGTCTTTCATGAAAATTTTGTCAATCAGTCTCTAACTATATCAAAATTATGTTAAAAATTTGGCAAAAAAATTTACACGCGTTTGGATGGTTGGGAACGTGNCGCATGACATTATTTTATATTGCGCGTGCGTATGTGATTGTGACGCTTGATTTTACCCGATTTCCGTCTCTTGAGTTATTTCCCAATCTAGTTTGTAGATGTTGTTTAATTAATCACACATATTACTTTAAAAAAAATAAATAAAAATCACAACATATCTTTGACCGACAACAAAAATGAAAAAAAAATACTTTTAAACCTATTTACGGTTGGCCTGTCGATAAAATGGATTTTAATCTGAATTCAAGTTCATTTAATTGAATATAGATTAATATTTCAATCCATTTATCTAAATTTGATTAAATTTNAGGTGAATGATGACTAGAGCCACTCCCCAACGACGAATATCTGTTGTGTGAATTCTCAATTTTAGGTTTTGCCCACTTGCATTTTTCTTGTTTGAGAAATAAAAGACGGCAAAACCGCCTTTAAAGGAGTGTATTATTGGGCGGGCCAAGTTTCAGGTAGAGGTTGGTTACTTGCAGCCAAACCCGCCACTCATTGGGCGGGCTTATTGGGTTGACCTGGAAGTGGGCCTGTTGGTGCAGGCCTATGAGCCTGTTGGGTGGGCCTATGGGCATACTTACTGGACGAACTTTTTATATAAAACTTTATTTAAAAATAATGAATATTTTTGTAATTTAATATTTTTGTAAATTATATTTTGAATTAAAAGTAGAGTCAAAATGGACAAAATTTAAATAATGAATAATTTTATTTATAAATAAGGGAGAAACTGCATCACAATAGAATGATCACATCCCAACTAGGTTGATACATACCCACCTATCTATTTTTTTAAAATTTCAAATTTAATGTGTGACTTTTTTTTAAAAGAAGGTGAGCGGGCTATTTGGGCTGGGCTAGGCTGGGCGGGCAGATTCTTGGGTTTGATTTTAATAAGTTTTTGTAAGCAGGTTATTGAGTTGAGTTTCAGACCAAGTAATGGGTTAGGGGTAAGCCCAAGTCCTTTCTTGAAGGATATTAAGTTTGGGCTCAAGCAAGTCAGCTATAAAGCTTATAGAATTTCAACCCTATTTTTTTCAGGCAGAATAATAGGACCTGTAAATAATCTGACCGTTGACACCCCTACTTTTAATAATGTTTAACAAAAAAAGAAAAAAATGATTTTACTAGTGTCTTTTGAAAGGATAACAATCAATTCTACTTAAAAGATCTCTGATCGATCTAAAACATTTTGTTTTTATCACACTATTGAATTACAAAAATAATATTTTTAAATTCTAATTAACATATACATTATTCTCTTACGACTCCACAATAGTAAGAATATCAGTTGTCATTTTCAAATAATCACTTATTTTTATTTATTTAATAATAAATTATTTATTATAAATTTAAATAAGACTCATAATATATAAATGAGCAAAAAAAATAAACACAAAGCATGCCTGAATTGTGTTTTATTAAAATTTGTTTAATTTTCTTAACTTATTTATAATTTTGCATAAATTGAATTGTGTCGCATGGATTAATTGTAAATGCATCAACTTATTTAATTTTCAAGTCTTACAAATATACCTATTTATCATTTTTTTCATAATGAGTATCCATTTATCATTTTTTTCCGTCCGACTCTCGAACACTATTATCGAGAATGGGATAATAAAGTTTGAACTTTCAACCTTTACGTTTAACAATGACACGATCATTAAGTCAACTGTTGATCTTCTTATCACAGTCTCAAAATATAAAACGATTCGTTAACATCATGTGAATACGACACAAAATTAAAGGATTTGAATATTCTTTAAGTCACCTGTTTTGTAAACAAGTAAACACAATACGACACGATTAATAAATAAATAAATAGGGCATAGGTGAAACAAATTAAAAAAATAAATGACGAGACAAATTTATATATACACGATTGATAAACAACATGAACTCGAAATGACCCGATTCACTATACACGAATTAATAAAAGGGTTTTTGGGGTGTGAGTACAATTTTTTAGACTTATTTAAGCAAAAGTATATGGATAAGTTATTTATTCTATTAAGTACAAATTTTATAAATTTTTTTGTGTTTTGGTACAAAATTCAAATGAATTAAAAACTTTTTTACCTAAACATCCTCCCTTAAATTATGCAGTCATCATTGACAGTTATTTGAGGAAACAAATATGTAAAGATTAATAATAGTAATGAGAGGTAAAATAGGGGCATTAATGATCAAAACCCTTCTTCTTCAACAATAGGATTCTATGACAATGAGATTTGATTAGAATGTCACAAATTATATGTGAATAAATACTATTTTTTTCTAAAAAAGAACTTTTTTTTAATGAGTGTAACTGTTTTTTAATGGGTGTAACTATTTTTTTAACGAGTGTAATTATTTTTTTAATATGTGTAACTATTTTTTAATGTGTGTAACTATTTTTTTTAATTGGTGTAACTGTTTTTTAATGGGTGTAATTATTTTTTTAATGTGTGTAACTGCTTTTTAATGAGTGTAACTATTTTTTTAATGGGTGTAACAATTACAGTCTCGTGCAATTGTTAAGGCATGAATGGTGTAACGATGTCGCGATATTAAATGATACAACTATTTAGTTTATGTAAACAACTGAATGACAAATTGTGTTAGTGTCATAATTTTGTGTAATTTTTTTGTATGACTATTTAGTTTATTAGAACGCATGAGTAATTGTTTGGTGTATTATAAAACAATTGTAACTGATTAATGTAACTGATCAGTGTAATTGTGTTGTTGTAATATTAATTTAAATAGAGTAAGAGAAAATAGGAATAGAGAGAGAGAAATTGTTAGAAAAAATACATTGTGTTGTTGTAATATTAATTTAAATAGAGTAAGAGAAAATAGGAATAGAGAGAGAGAAACTGCTAGAAAAAATACACCCTTATTTTACCTCACATTGCTTGGTTGTAGCAAAAATATATGAAAGAAATACAAAGTGTTTTAACCCATCAATTATTTACTGAATGACAATATTGTCATTTTCTAAAAATATAGACTTTAGTTTAAATAAGATTTTGTGTTGTATTTTTACTTAAATAAGTCAAAAAAATTATACCGACATCTAAATTATCTTTAATAAAAGAATCGAAGATAAATAAAATATTTTTTTTTTATCATGAATCCAACTTAATTTAAGTCACCTAATAGAGGGAGAGAATCGTGGTCACGTTCACGTTTTACGCATGTCCGAACCCTCAGGAAATGGCGCGAATAATCACACTGACGACCCGACCGCTAATCCGCCAGAACGCAACCGGCCCGTCGGCGATCAATTCCCACTGGACCCTTTGCTGAGACCCGGCGAGTACATCGACGGCGGCACCGACAACCGCGAAGACAAAAACCGTGTCGTAGACCACACAGAGTCCCACCAAGTCGAACCCCCCAATTCGGCGTCAGATGAACAACGCAAGTGTCATTCAGTAGCAGAACCCACAACAGCCACTCCGCAATCGCAGCAGCGGCGGAGGAGACCGCCGGAGGATATGGCGGCAATGGGGGAGAGACCCGAATGGTTGCCGGCGGAATGGAAGACTTATACGAAGACTAGGTCTTCTGGTGCCTCTGCTGGAACAGTTGATAGGGTAATTTTCATGTTTTGTTTGTTTTCAGTATTTGTCCTTGTGATTTTGGCGATTAGGGTGATGTTGAGTATTTGTATTAAGTTTATTTGTATGTTTGGTTCTGGGTCGGTGGGTGGTTGCTTTATATAGTTATGCATTGTGGATGAGTGGTAACTTATTATGTGTAGATGTGTGGTAGCTTTGAGGATGAATAGCTTCTAAGTTCCAGAATTTACTTGTGGTTTCTTTGCTTATGGAGATAATGTGAATGTATTTATTCGGGATAAAAGAATTAAACAAGTGCCAAAATAAGTTTGTAATTCGAAATGATAAGGGAAATTCTCTGGGAAACAATTCTCTTGTTGTGAATGTAGTAGAAATTCAGCAATTATTGAGGTGATCGGAAATCGTAATGTTATTGAATTGAACGTTGTTAGTTTGTGTATTGTTCATTTAGTGAAAATAACACGATATATTCGGTATGTTTGAAAATTATTTGAGTGTTTCTAAGGGATATTCATATGTTTTGTTAATCTAAGCTTCTATACTTTGATAGATCTATTCTTTTCTAAATGTTCAATGTGATTGTACAGATATACTACCAGTGTGATTTATGAGCTTCTGTACTTGACAATTGGAGCTTTAAATATCATCAGATATTGTTTGCGGTTTCTTTAAGAGATGTATTTTGGTAAGTTCACAGGGAAAGAAAAACAAGAATCTAGGCTACAGTGAATCTCCTAAATAGTCACCTTCTGTGATTCTATCGATAAGTTTGACAATTACTGGTCAAGCAGACACTTTGCTTTTCGCCTTTATTTTGTAAGGCCCCCCTCCATTTTTTTTGGCCACATACTTTCTTTGTTCTAAAATTGAGTCTCTGATGGAAAGAGCAGTGTGAGAATGAACTTCAAGTCGGAATGATCTTTTGCAAGACGCTTTGGTTTCTAACCATGTATTAGTAATCCTAGGCATTGGTAAACACTGAACTAGTTTACTAAAATAATGACTTTGAGTGAATGATTTCACCCTATTTTGCCTTGTTCTGCTGCTGTATTAATGAATTTTTTGATGTTGGTTGGAACCATGGATCAAGATTAGTGGGGTTTACTTTCTGAAACTGATTTCAAATATCAAAAAAGCTAATGGTTCTAATCAAATGTCAAGATGGTAAGCAAATAGGAACTATTGAAGATTCAGGAATTCCGGAATCCATTTGAAATTTTTGCTTTACAGAAGCTAGGCTTTGATTAGGTGAGTTTTGTTAACTTTGGCTGCACCCCTCATAGACTCCAAAATATTGAAGTTGTAAACAAACTGTATTGCATAAGAAACTCAATGTTTTTACCCAAGTTTCAAAACCATTTTTCTTATATGGCTGTTTTGAATTATCTATTGTGGTCAAGTACCATTGCCCTTTGCTTTTATACTCTTCCAATTTATTTTTGCTTCTTAATTTTCCAGCTAAAGGGAGTGAAGCACGTTAAATATCATACTGGTCTTCTTGAGGAAAAGTTCAGTTTACCAGATATTTTGAAGCTTTGAGGATAGAAAAAATGGCTAGTAGAGAATAAGTCTTAAGAAATTGTATGCTAACCCAGTCTTGGACTTTTCCCCACCCAACTGAACTCAATACAATTTGTCGAAGGCCTTCACTTTTTAACTAATCATCAATTAATTAGATATCTCAGTACTTATATGTTAAAACAACAAAACAGGTTTGTAGTGTATCTATGCTGGAATCATGTATCATCTAGTAAAAGAAAATAGAAAAAAGACAGGTGTTTAGGTTTTCCTCACTTCCCCATCGATCTCCGTAGTACTCTAGTTTTGTAACACTGATGGTTCTCTAGATGTTAAAGTGCCAAATCAGATGGAAGACTGGGTATTTCAAAGCTAGGATTTCAGGGAAGCTAATTTGAAGGATTGGTGGAGACTTATAAACATCACAAAGTATGGAATAGAAAGTTAAAGAGGAATGTCAAGTGATTGTAAACATGTAAATTGAGTGGCTAGTGAAGTCAAAGAAAGATGAAAAAAAGAGGATGAGGTTTTTCTTGTTTGGTCTTAATAAGATGAGGTCAAAGTTAATTTTTCTCATACTCTGTTGAGATGAGTCCATGATTCCAAATATGAGAATTGGAAAAGTGTACAGTATTTTAATAGAGGCCGCATTTGCTTTCAGAGTGCATTTTTGCAAAATTGAGTGGCTAGTAAAGTCGAAGAAAGAGGAAAAAGGGAGGATGAGGTCAAAGCTATTTTCTAATACTCCTTTTAGAATTGTCCAAGAAACTAAATATGTATGTCAGAAAATGCAAAGTATTTAATAGGAGCTGTATTTACTTTCAGACAACAATGCAGCCTCCGCCTTTGACAGATTGCTGACTAAGAGTTGCACTTAGGAGCCTTTAAAACCAAATTCGGGAAAGGACACATTGATCCTTCCTATCGCATCTGTAGTTCTTCACATACCTTTGCAACACTATTCTATTGTTTACGTTGGAAGTATGATATAATGGTGGATAGATCTATGTTCTAAACAAAGCCTCTATAAACTACATGTCTTTTTGGCTGAGAATGATGACCGTAGCTATAGTTTCCTAAGAGCTGCTGTATTGTTTTTGTGGTGTAATTCTTCTGAAATTTATGATGCATGTGAATGCTTCATATATATGGCAAGGAATCAAACTTAATCAACACATTGGCGCAGGCATGAGACATGTCATTAATGTAGGGTTTGCATTGAGTTTCAGATCATTTTCCAAACTAAGTTAAAAATAAAATGAAAATAGTTAATATTTGATACAATGACGGTCAAGATGCAATTTTCCTGTGCAGAGTACAAGAATGTGACGTGCTACAAATGACATGTAATGGTTAGCAGTAGGGTTTTTACCTTTTCTGTTTTGAATTAGAAGGAAACATATTTTATCTCTTATTAAGGATTTCTTTCTTATTTAGTTAATGGAATCCATGCCCCAAAATATCCCTAACAGCCTTGATGACATTCTACCTTTCCATCTATCTTCCAGGCAAAGATTTGGTTGACTTTAAGGTGCTTTTTGTTACTTTTTTTCTTTAGCAATTCTAATTTAAGACCATCAGTAGTATTTGCCCGAGCGCCTTGAATCATGAGAGTTGTGAGACAATCCACATCTTCTTTTGAAAGAATTCAAGTGTATGGAAACTTTTTCCGGCATCCAAATGTTTAGATACTTCGGGACTATGGTATACCATAATAAATAAGATGACCTTAAGGACTCATACTGTTATGGCTCCTCATTTTAAGAGGAAGTTGGTCATGGTTGTTTCCTTTTATGGCTGGAGGGTGTTGGCAGGAGGTTCAATTGCTGGATGGTAAGAGTAATGTAGTCAGCCAAATATAATGAATTCCAAAGGCGTCATAATTGTGTCTCCCAGAAATACTTGAATGCTTGAGTTCAATCAACATTTCCTTGATTCGAATTGGGTATATAAATCATTGTATATATCAAAATTTTCATTGATTAAGTAAAAACTCTGAATTGATTAAGATGCTTTTACTTGTATTGGGCATATTGATTTTTGCACTTGTCAAATATGTGTTTGCTGCCTGTCATAATTGATTCTTGATCAAATATGAGTAGAACTCACAAAAAGAACACTAGGACAGCATGCTAATATGGGTAGGCCGGGCAATAGTAAGCTAATATTGGGTATCTCCTAGACTTTTCAATCCTTGGAGTTAAGACTTGGATCAGCTTTTCCATCTGACCGGGTCTGAGTTAGCCATGTTGTGGCCTTAGAAAAAATCTCGGTGTCATTTTCTAATTTTTCTTGCCAAACAAATGCAAATAAAATCACCACAAAACGTCAAATCTTGCTTTGCTGTCAATCTGAGACGTTTTCCATCGTAGTTGTCGCCTCTCCTGTCAAACCTTAGGTGGATTCCTCTACTTCCCCCCCCCCAACCCTATCTTGATGGATTTCAACCTTGTTTCTGAAAAAGAAGAAGAACAAACCCTTGTTGAAGGAGCCTCTATGGAAAACAGCGAGAATCCAGAGCCAAACCAAGGTGAAACTCATGAATCTGGCAATAACAAACTAGATCTATGCATCCATCTGGTGGCCAATGATTCAAATTGTGCAGACGCTGTGATGACAACTGAGTCAGCAACACAAATTATCGTCTGGTCTCCACCATCACGGCAGCTGAAGAGGGGACCAGATCTGGAGGCAGTTTCTGCTACATTGGCAGAGAGACCAGAATGGTTGCCGGAGGGTTGGCTTGTTGACACTAAGACTCCGTCCTCTGAAGTCACTGCTGGATTAGAAGATAGGGTAAGTTCTTTCCTCAGTTGATGTTTTACCAGGATAGATATGGTTTTCATTACCATTTATTTAGATCTTTGGCTTCCTATCAGGTTTTTTTTTTTAGTGAACTTTAATTCAGTTTACTTGATTTCTCTTTTTAACATTTGATAGTATGCATGCATGTATGCACATCTGTATGTAATGCAGAGATACAATGTGAACTTGACGGCTATGGGATAGGATTTTATAGTTCACATGTATGTATGCACATCTGTATGTAATGCAGATACACATTTTGAACTTGACGGCTATGTGATACATTATTATTGATGTCTGAATTTCAAGAACTAAATTCCATTCAATAAAATACAATGAGAACTAGGGAAAAGTACAGAAAATTTAAACATGAATTTATGGGTGAGAAAAGTGATTCTATGCACAATATTTGAGAAAGATATGTTGTCATTCAATCCTCTCCAAAATAATCCAAGAATCTTTCTATGAAAGGCTTCTGTATATTTGATAGGGTTGGTAATTAACTTGAATTTTGCTGAAAACAAATAAATTACTTTATGTCTTCTTTGTTTTCAGCTCATTCAGTAGTTGCTTAAGAAGGTTTTACCAGGGGAATGATTTCTACTATAATAAGCTTCGGTAAATATATTGATGGGTTTCATTTGTTAAGTTTTATATTATTGTTGCTGTGGTTTAGGAGTTCTTCCTCTGGGAAATTGAATCTGGGAATGGAATCAGTTAGAATATTAAGCTCATGTATGTGATGTCTTTCTAAGAAGGAATTCATGTCTGTCAACTTTCTGTGCACCTCACCATCAATCTACTGATAAATTCAGCATGTTCCATGCGAGATTTCTCTTTAGGGATATGCATGAGACAACAGAAAAGCATTGCACATGNTGTGCACCTCACCATCAATCTACTGATAAATTCAGCATGTTCCATGCGAGATTTCTCTTTAGGGATATGCATGAGACAACAGAAAAGCATTGCACATGTTAAAGTGCCATCCAAGGTGTACTTTTTTTGTTTCAAAGACGGGTCTGGGAGTTGATTAGGCAGTTATGGAAAAAAGTGCTTCTCAACTGGTCTGTCTGTGCAAGTAAGCTAAAAATGCAGCTTTGGAAGGAGAAAAATGACGTGGGTCATTTCTTTGTAAGCACTTGCTAGTGACATTTAGCTGTGTGATGTTCTTTGTTATTTGGGTCTAATTGCGCTACGAAGGTAATGATGGGCATTTCTTTAGAAATTTGAGGGTGATGTACCAAATTCTCTGCGACCATAGATTTGATGTATTTTGTAGACGTTGGGTGAGTATTTCATGTTAAAAGCCGAGTGTTGATATTTTTGTGGTAAAATAGGAGAGATTCCATTGCTACAGACTTAATGTCAATAGACGTATTGAAAGCTCTCATTGCACTATGAAGGTATTGAAAGCTCTCTGTGACTGAGTTTGCGAGTATNGACTTAATGTCAATAGACGTATTGAAAGCTCTCATTGCACTATGAAGGTATTGAAAGCTCTGTGTGACTGAGTTTGCGAGTATGAGGTTAATTTTACAAGAATTTTTAGGTCAATATATGTTCTTGAAAGAAAATTAGTGGATGTTGTTATTCATGATAAATCTCATTAAGTGCTGAGCTAATTGAACCTCAACATATGAATGTTGTTGGTTGCTTGATAGTAAAAGAGACGTGCTTGTAGTTTCTTTTGATCCTTCGGAGTTGAACTATGCAGTCATAGAGACTTTCTGGGGTATTGTGATCAGTCATGGAGGATTACTTATATTGTTTGAAGCCATCACATACACCGAAACTTCCTTTTTCTTTTTCCATTTTTGTTTTTGGATGAGCAGTTTCATTTCCACACCCCCCCCCAACTCCCCAGCCCTTCCTACCTATTAAATTGACATCCGACTGGCTCTTTACCACTTCCAGACATTCGACTAGCTCTTTACCTCTTCCAGGATATTAATAATTGGCAGGAAAACAATGGGAAAAACAATGCGCCAGATTAAAGTTATTTTTTATTTTTTTTATGTTTTCTTTTGAATAAACTTCCTTGTCTGATACTTGACTCAGGACATTTTTTATCTGCTTGAATCTGTTTGACAATTTCATCTTATGACATGCCATTATTTCCAAAGTTCCTGCATGATTGCAGAAATGGCTGTTTTGCAATTGATTTGTGGGATGTAGTGGAAATCTTTCTTTCGCGATTCTCTGTATCAGAGCCTTCTATTTTGCATATAATAGCTTAATTTGTTATTTGAATCAATTAGTCTGTTTTGAACTGCCAAACATATTATCTGCTGAGCTGTTACAGTAGACCCACAACTTAGACAGGAGTGCTTTGAATTTTGTTGAGGTTCCTACAAAGTTTACTTGGGAAAGGAGATTTGAGTGTATTTCTCCTCAACGTCCAAATTATCTATTATGTTTCATGCAGTAATTGAGACCGTTCCACTTCAAATTCCGTGGCATTGGGAATAAGTAGTTTAAGATACCCGTAAGTCAGAACATATGGGAGTGAGGGAAAGACTTTATGATTTACTAAAGACATTGAGTTTAAATTTCGATGGGGTTTCATTTTCAAAATTTTCTTTCTTCCGTTTTCTTGTTTTTATGGGCATTGCTCTTCAATGGTGCTCGTACCATGTTCTGTAATGATTTCATCGCGGAGAATGCGTATCTGGTTGATTAGCAATACAGAATAGAATCATGCCTTTTACACGGTTTATGTCATCTGTGTTGTGCAGTATTATGTTGAACCAGTCTCAGGGCGTCGTTTCCGCTCAAAAAAAGAGGTGTTTTACTTCCTGGAAACAGGAAACATGCCCTCCAAGGGGAAGCCGAATCCTAATGCTGATGTTGCGGTGAGTGAATGAATACTTTAGTTAAATTTTGAACTAGTTTCTTGAAAGTTCTAACCTCATAATCCCAACCCCCGGCAGGGTTGCTGAATCCCATGAAAATTCAATTCTTATTCGTTGTTTTTGTATTAAGACGTAGCATGATTGCATTTGCAGCCTTCCGGGAGCGCTGGGGGCCCAAGTAAAAGGCAGTCTGGTTCAAGGGCAAACGCTTTTGATTTTGATTTTGATGCTGATAATCCACCAGAAAAAGTCTTGTGGGATTTGACTAATGATTCTGAGAATATATGGACGCTTGTTGTCGATGATAAAACAGTTCCTGAATCAACTAAGCAAGAGTGGGCTGCTGTATTTTCGCATGTCTCACAGCTCGAAAAGAACAGTGGCACCTCAAGTGGAAGGTGTGTCCGTCCGAAGCCTTCAAATTCAGGGGCATAAATCTGGTACTGAACAATAGTAGACCCTTTTTAATCCCTGCCTCCTATGCTTTAAAGTGACTTGAATGCATTATAGAGTAATGCCATTTTAAGTTGAACTGTTTTTTTTTCTTTCTTTCTTCACATGGTGTTGTATTTTCATGTTGACAAGATTCTGTGGAGTGAAGAGCATTCTGGTGTTTGGTTTTTCTAAGTGTTACATTTTCCTAGATATTTTCTTTCTGCAGAAAAGCTTCGAAAGGAAAAAGTGGATGTATGTGTGTGCGTGTGTGAGAGAGAGAGTACATTTGAGCTTTTCTATGGGAGTGCTTGACATAACATCGATATGGATACATACATACGCAATGCATATCATGTGCATGTGGCAATTTGTTATTGGGTTGCGATACCAATTGTCACTAATAAGCCCGATACGATATATCATGGTTTTATTGGATATTTGCTATGTGAAAAATGTAATTAAGATGTTTTTATAATGCTTCGAAAATGCTATGATATTGAAAATTATTTTTTTGGTACTGGACGGAAAAATAATTCTCTGACATAGGTCTTAGTTTGAGTTATTTATACTCATTCTTCTAGTGAAATAAGAATTTACTTCTAATTGTCAGAAATAACCTTAGGTGAAGATATAGATTGACTTAATTTGAGATACCCTTATTTCTTATTTCTTTTTTTTTTTCTTTTTTGGGTATGGGGTTTAGTGGTGGGATTCTTTTCCCTATCTAGATGGTAAATAGGATGAAATACACTTTTGGTCCCCCAAAGTATGAATTTAGTGCATATTTAGTCTCTAATCTTTCAATTGTGTCTAGTTAGTCCATAAAATTTCTAATTTATATCTAAGTGATCCAATTCTAAATGTTGTTAGAAAATTGTTGACGGTTTTAGTCACGCGTTAATCATTTGATTTTTAATTTTGTGTTTATTTGGTCTTTAAAATTTTTAATTTGTGTCTATTTAATCACTAAGGTGCCTAATTTGTGTTTATTTGCTCTCACATGATTGGCGCATGACCAGAGTACTTAACGATTTTTTGATGGACGTTGGAGATTGGACTACGTAAATACAAATTAAAAATCTTAGGGATTAAACAGATACAATTAAACAATTGGGGACTAAATAAACACTAAACGCAAATTTTTAGGACTAAAAGTGTATTTTACCCTAACAAATAAGACATTTACCTAAAATACCACAATTCCTCCGCAGGTCAATATACCAGCAGTTCAAGTACAAATAGAAAAGGAAACTTCAAACGTCGTGATTTCAAAATCTTAGCCTCATTCAACTTAACCACTATATCTTTATTTTCTCTCTCTCTCTCT